ACAATCAGATTGCAGACTCCCTTGCTAGGGTACAGTCAAGTTTAAGGCAGTTCACCCTAATAAGCAGCAAATAAAATTAGGTTTAGACACGCCTCATGAATACCGGGCACTGACTCAAATCAACTGTAGTACTTCTATGAAAATAAGCAAGGACGGCCCATCAGAAATATGGCAAGAAACTTGCATGCCTCTTCCGTTATTTGTCCTAACCTTTAGCAGTACAAGAAAATTTTTGGACTTGAAATCTACCACACATTACATTCAGATAATTAAGCAGAAGGTGGAAGTGTAACACTCAGCGAAACGATAATCAAGAAACAAGCCCACCTAACCTTAGTCAACAGATTTACTGACTGGGAATGCTTCAGGCAAGAACTAAAACATAATCTCATTCTGAAAGTATGCCTCAAAGCTGAAGAACATCTTGATCCTGAAACAGATGACTGAGTTCATCAAAGCGATACAATATGCTACATTCATTATCAGCAGACCCATATCACTATAGGTGGCAATTAGGGCCTTAGTTCTAGAAAAAAGAATGACGAGGTGTACATGGCAGCTCTCCTGAGATCTAGTAGATAAGAATGTTCCTAGTAACAAAGCTCAAAAATTGAAACCAGAAATGCAAAGAAATAACAATAGCACAATTGACTCTTATTTGGAACGGTTAATCGCAGATAAAGAGCGTGGGTATTCTCATTGGAAGGTAACCAAGAGACTCAAGCGTTCAATCACATCGCTTGCTCCACTAAAAAGCATTGATGGCAACAAGTAAGTACGCTTTTATAGATAAATTCTGATTTTGCTCCTGAACCTGTTGTTGGAAATATTTCTGAGTACACTCTTTTAGTCACTCCCAAGGAAGTGTCTACTTAAATTATGACCCACCTGAGTTCCAAAAGGCTCCAGAATTCGATCTCATAACTGGAGAAGTGCTAAAACAATTACCGAAAAGAAACTGTTCCAACACAAACGTATCTATTCAATGCAATTATTTGTTTGAAGCATATGCCTGAAATATAGAAGGTCGCAGAAGCTACCATGCTTCTGAAGCCTCAAAAGGCACTGCATGAAGTTAAGCCATATAGATCTATACCACTACGGCCCTTCAGCTCCAAGTTATTTGAAAGACTACTACTAAGAAACTTAAGCCAGTTTTAGAAAGGAACAAACTTATCTCAGATTACCAGTCGGAATTTAGAGCTAAGCATTCCACCATACAACAAGCGCATCGCATCAAAGACATCATAGTATCGGCTGTAGGCTCTAGGCTCTACGTCTAGATAGTCAGGCAATATATCTCAAATTGGACGCTCAGAGTTAAGCAAGAAGATTAGTATCCTGTTTTTCTGGATATCAACGAAGGACTACGTCAGGAGAGCGTTCGAGGTCCAGAACTCTATCTTTTGTATATATCAGATATTCCTGCTATGACTGATGTAACGGTTGCAGCACTTGCATCTGGTACAGCATGGATTGCGACTGACAAAGATCTGTTAAGTTCTGACAGCAAAATGCAGACTGGTACCAAGAGGTTAATCAAATGGACTAAGAGGTGGAAAATCAAATTGAACGAAGTCTTACTCAAATAAGCGTTAACGGCGCCATCATACCAATAGAGTCTAACGCTAAATATTTTGGTAGAATCTTGACAGCTGGCTCAAGTGGAAGCGCCATATCAAAAAGGAGGGTTAGCTATATTATTGGTTATTGGGATGATCCTCAAAACTATCGCTCCATAACAAAATCATGATCTAGAATCAGTTCTAAGACTAGTGTGGCCCTATCTTTGTTAACTGTGGGGCTGTTTAAAGAGCTCCAGCATCGAAATTATTCAAAGATTCATGGTAAGTACCCTTTGATATGTTCCCAATAAAGGCATTCATGGTTATTTGAACATCCCTCTGGTTATCGAAAAGATCAAGAAATTAATAGCCATGTACGAAGGAAGGCTATATCAACACCTCAATGCAGACGCTCTTCAGCTATTGGACAACTACACTACCGTCCGACGAGTTGGATGAACTGTGTATTCGTATGTAGTGTTTTGTGTCTGCTAATTTTAGTATTAATTATGTATTACGATTATCTAGTCATAAGTATTAGCTGTACGATGACACAGGAGAATTTATGGTTGATCACAACGATCAGTTTTATTATTCGGGTATCATAATAATAATAATAATACAGTGCATTAAAGTTTTATTTCACTAACATAACCTTCGTAGCTCACCGCATATATAGTATAGTATCAACTTCAAGTAAGGCTTACAACACTCCGTACTCAGCGATCCTATATTAGAGCACATGCGATGACACAGCAGACGACTAACGGGTTCTCAACAATGAGAACCTGTTAGTTCCTAACAGGCGTTTACAGTTCACCAACTCATTTCAGTGCATAGCTACGAAATAATTTCTTTGCTTGGATAATGGTATTTGACAGACCACCAGTTTGCCACTGTTCCAACGTGCATAGCTCTACACAGAGTGATTCAAAAAACAAGAGCAGGAAAAGTTTTTTTAAATATGGATCCTGAAATGCTCTCTTCCCGAGATACAAGATGTTGAAGTTATAATTTCAAAATTTTTAAATAAAAAAATATTATCTTCCTAGTGAATTGAATTATCAGCTTAAAAGTACATAACTAGTACAAACAAAAATAAGTGGCTCTAAGTACACCAGTCGCATAATAACTGAGATATTTTTCTCCCCACAGCAGATTAAACATAAATATTTTCTGCACAAGTAACTTTTTTGAAACATCCATCTTATAAATAAAGTGTTTGATTTAAATTTCCTCTCTTGAGAAACTTTTGTCATTGGTAATATTTTGTTGTATCACCAACGTCCAGAAACCTTCGAACACTTTTTCTATTCAAATACGTTCGTTGTGGGTACAATTTGTATCCAAATCTCCTTAGACATCAACAACTTTAAATGTTGTTTGAAGCATAAAATTACTCAAGTCCGCCAACTTTCACAACACTTCGACACGGGTTGAACTGGAGGAATATAAAGTACTCGGCAGGCCCCTAAAAGTCAGAAAATATATTTCTCTTCAAGACAGTCACTTTTCCGCCAGACTGGTAATGCTTCAAAAACCACCGCTTATATCGGCAAAATGTCAGAATGATGTAAAGCCACCAATTCCTGGGGGTACAATGTAGAGTCGCAGTGTGGTGTTGACTTCAGGTATTTCGGCAATGGACAAAATGGAAGCACATTAAATTATAGGGCGTCTCAAACGTCATAGAGCAAACAATAGGGTATGATAGAAGGAGCCATTGTCAACCAAATACACCATATATGTCCTTATCCGATTGTGCACGGTTTTTGGGTTATCGCCATTACTAAGAATTTGTGGAAAATCGCTACCCATGAGACTGTTTTCTGAAGTTATTTTTCAATTAGATCCACAGGATATGTTCCCAAATGATGTGTCGGTGGAATAAAGCTATGAGTAAAAGTTTAAACCAGCTAATGTAGGTACAGCAATCGGCTAATCTGCAATTTTGTCTGTTGTCAGCAAGATTACAGCATATCCAACGAGGCCTGTACAAAAAATTAGTAATCGGGTAAAATATCCATAGTGAAGAAAAGGTTCTCTATACTACGGCCTTTCAAAATACCTCCGCACCCTTCAAAGTAGTCTTTACGAAGTCTCTCTTCAAAAATCTTAGCATTACTAGTTGTCTTTACATTAATAGGCTGATTGTTGTACATTTTTAAATCTTCAACAAACGAAAGATGTTAAATTAGTAGCCAGCACAAAAAGCAGTATCAAGTGGATTGATTCTATACTGATACCATTTGCATTGTAGAGCAATCTCATCCATAAAGACCGACACATCAAAATGATAATTGTTTTGTCACTTACCCTCCAAAAATACTGATACATTGAAAGTTTATTCTAAATAGTTCTGATTAGTGTATATGATCTCGAGTGTCTATAATACATCATGCCATTTGGTAACTCTCACAAAAGGAATGGTTAAAGGGTAAAGCAATTCCACGCAATGTCAACCGGATAGTCAAGATGTGAAGCTTACCGTACATGACTATTTGTGTACGTATTTTACTTTACGTGGGCTGAGTAACTACGTATTTATGCAGGATGCTCTATCAGTAAGTTGATATGGCTTGTAGTTCATACTTACCTTATAATTGATCACATATCACCGTATAATCCCAAAAGGATCTCAAGTTTCTTATTTCATAATGACATTATTATGAAGTCGAATGTTTTGTTGTCCTCTAAGTTACTCCGTGACATTAAGCATGCGCTTTGTTATCATATCTCTGAAACGGGATGGATCTGATTCTTTTAACTCAGGATCCAAATCATATGAAGCAATAAATTTTAAAGCGCGAACTATATGGAAACCGCTGTCATAACTAACGGTAATCTAATATTCCGAACTAATAATGGCTGTTTGAAGCAACTACATACACACCAGGCCAATGCTGATAACTGCGATGAGATATACAGTTGACGCGCAATGAGATATACTTTAACGATGGCTTACTGGCTTCGCAACCTGTATGCTATCTCAAATTTGGCCATGCTGCTCAGATATTTCAGTAGTACAAAAATTCGTTTAATTTTGCATTCGACTAAGAATAATTATAGTTACTTTACTTAAATACACTAATATTTACATTTTCTCAAGGCTCTATGTCAAATGAAAAATGTACTTGCAATTAAGTACATTCAGCTCCCAGAATCATTCCATACTTCGTTTTGTTTTAAATATCACCTGCCGACTGGTTACAAAATACTTGAAACGTCTATTCTTTTTTTGTTTCTATCGCCTGAGAATAATACGAGGGATGTCTTTTAAGTTTTGCATATAGAAACATAGTAGGCAGCACGGATCGAACGTAAGTACCGAATCTTCACCTCACTCTTTAGTAAACTTAAATTCAAAGTTTCACAACAATAGGTGCAGTGTTCTCACTACAGTAAATTTTTAAGTGTCACCAAGTCATTAGAAAAATGGAACTCAACCGAGAACATTTTCGCACCATAATTTATTACAACTTTCCGAGACAATTATCGCAACAAGAATGCCTTGCTGAGTTACTGTCTGTTTTCGGAAACGAAGCGCCACATCAGTCGACAATTTCCCGTTGGTACGGAGAATTCAAACGTGGACAGGTGAGTCTTAGCGACGATCCCAGGGTGGGTGCACCAAAACGGCAGTCACCCAGGAAAACGTCGATGCTGTGCACAAACTCATCATTGAAGATAGACATGTGACATAACGCGAGATTGAGGCGTCCTTAAAGATCTCAATTCAAAAAATTTTACATGTAGAATTAGGAGTAAGAAAATTAGTTTCTCGTTGGATGAAGAGCAGAAAGCAGCCATGGTTAATTGGTCTCAAAAAACGCTTGACCGTTTCAATTCCGGAAACTCAAAAAATGTGTACAGCATTGTTAGTGGTGATGAATCGTGGATTTACTGTTATGAATTAGAAAATAAACGGCTGTTTGGGTGTCCCAAGGTGAAGAAAAGCCAACACAAGTCATCCGTACTCGAAGTGTTTCGAAAAAGATGGTCGCGACATTTGTGTCAAAAGCGGGTCATATTGCAACAATTCTTTTTAATGAGCAAAGAACTGTTACTGCGGATTGGTATACCACCATTTATTTGCCAAAAGTCATCACCGAGCTTCGAAAAATCCACTCCAAAAGATCCACTCCGAAAGAAGAATCATCCTCCACCAAGACAATGCAAGCTCGAACACACCCCAAAAAACATGGCAGTATTTAACGGAAGAAAACGTGGACTTATTGGACCATCCTCCATATAGTCCCGATCTAAGTCCTAACGATTTCTTTACTTTCCCGAAAATTGAAAACATACTGCGTGGTCAAATGTTCCAGTCATCAGAAGAAGCAGCTGACGCATTCAAAAATGCCGTTTTGGATCTGCCAGCAAACGAGTGGAATAAGTGCTTCGAAAATTGGATCGAGCGCATACAGATGTGTATTAATCTTCGTGAAGAATACTTAGAAAAACGATAAAGTCATTTGAAACTACTTACGGTGTTGTTTTATTTCCATATGCAAAACTTAAAAGACATCCCTCGTACAACCATATCTTATAGCCATCACAGGTGCCAGTTTTTGCATCACTGACAAACTGCCCACCACAGAAGTCAGTCTTTGACATAATTAGGTTGGTCTGTGTTATATCAAAACGATTTTGGATGCATAAAATTTCTGCACAAACCCAGCCGTGCTGTTCTAGAAGTATCACCAAAAGTGCATAAGTACGTCATGGGTCGAGGATTTTTATATGTTGGTTGGAGAAAATGTGCTGTCACAGATTATTTTCCTGTCCTTCGCTGTTTCAACTGCTGTCGTTATCATCATACCAAGGATGCCTGTAAGGATGTAGTTACCTGTCCAGATTGCGCAGGTCAGCATTTGAAGAACTGCCCGCGAACATCGCCGATAAAGTGTATTAATTGTGTGAGTTACAATGAACAGCGTCAAACAAATCTAAGAACCGAGCATTCTGTAACCGATTCGAACTGGGGTGTTTACAATCTGATTGTCAATAACATAAAACCAAAAACTCAATATGAATGAGAAATGTGTCACTTTAGCGCACTTGAATGTTCAGTCGCTATTCACAGGTTTCTATGATCTAAAAATGATGTGGTTTGACAGCAATATTGATATTCTTGCCGAATCAGAAACTTGGCTATCTAGTTATGTGCCAGATGAATCAGTAGCAATAGATGGATTATTTAATTTAAAGGCGTGATCGCCTGTCTCGCGGGGGAGGGGTTGCATTTTACGTGAAAAATAATTTGAAATGTACACTCTTAGACATAAATATTGACATGTTACAATCTGATTATCAAGGTCTGTTTATCTCGGTTGTCATTAATAGTTTCAAACTTGCTGTTGGAGCCTCTTATCGTCCTCCTAAGAAGGATCAGGTTGTCTGCATCCAAAATTTGGATCAAATTTTGCCGCGGTTGCAACTTGACTTTGATCATATAATAGTATTAGGAGATATTAATATTGATATATTGACTCACACTGAAAACAACCTATTAAACTGTTTCAACTCATGGATTTTCTCAAGTAGTCGCTGGATCTCTCAAAATACAGCAACTCTTTTAGATCTAATCTTTGTATCAAATGAAACGATGGTAAATAATACATGTACGTTAAGCCCTGATGATGTTAGTGATCACAGTGTATTGTGTTGTCCCTGTATCGACAAAATTCTCGTCAATAGTCTGTCACATAACCTGATTATAAAAACTTAGATCATGAACTGTTCATGATGGACTTACGCTCCATTCCTTGGCATCACATCTATACTGTACAAAGTATCGATGAAAAAGTAAGATTATTGACCGACTATGCTACATTATTGTTCTAAATTCAAGCTCCTAAAATTACCGTCAGAGTTAGCAGGCCGCCAGGTCCTAGGCTTACAGATATTCTTAAACAGGTCATGACACACTTACACGAAGTACGTCTTAGGCACTACAAAAGATGAGGAACTTTGCATTGATGGCAATGAGAACAGAAAAACGTGCATATCTTAACTATTTGCATTCTCAGAGAAATAATAGGCAATTTTGGAAAACTCTGAAAAACATCTGTATAAATAATTCCTCTTCCTTTTCACTTCCGCCATCCTTAAGCGATCCTAATTGAAATAAACAGGTCCTTCATGTCTGCATATACTGAAAATAATGAATCCAATGCTCTTATTACCAGATATTACTCCAGCAAAGCGTACTGGAGCATATATCGAAGATGTGATTCATGTGGTCCTGACGGCATAATCTTGGGTATGCTCAAGCTTTGTATGTCAGAGCTATTAAATCTATTGACACACATTATAAACTGTTGCTTAGAGAAAGGATATTTTCCTCGACTTTGGAGAGAGTCTCTAGCATGCTTTTACCTAAGCTACCTGCTCCCACTGAGCTTGCGCATTTGAGATCTATCAGTTTACTATGCATTCCATCCAAACTGTTAGAAAGAATAGTTAATGTACAGCTAAATCAGTATTCAGTAGAACAAAACATTCTCCCTAAGCACCAGTCGGGTTTTAGGGGAGGGCATAATACAACCACTGCTCTTTTAAATCTTAATGATGAAATTATACGGCCGCTAGATAAGAGGCTTGCCACTCTACTTATACCCTTGGATTTTCCAAAAGCCTTTGACACCATTGACCATTCACTTATGTGCGTAAAACTGTATCATTATGGCCTTGACCATTCAGCATTGAACTTATTTTGTAATTACTTGAGTCTTCGTAAGCAAAGCGTTATTCTACATAACAAAAGATCTGAGATAACACCAATAACATCAGGAGCTCCTCAAGGTTCTATTTTAGGACCGTTGTTATTCATTATATACACAGCTGATATCTTGAAATCCGTACAGTACTCACACATTCAATCTGATGCTGACGACACGCAGCTTCTGTTCCATTTTGAACCATCTCTTGTGGAACAGGCAAATGATTTAATCAATACTGACTTACAAACAGTATGTGACAATTGTAAAGAACACAATTTGAATCTAAATCCTGATAAAACGAAACTTGTGCTTTTCTGTTCTGATCACAAGCGAGAAAACCTGAGTAGTGGTCTGACTCTCTTCTTGAATGAACAACAACTTTATTTTTCAACTAGCTGTAAGATACTTGGTTTGATCGTAGATGACAAGTTATGTTACCAACAATACATTAAAACAATATCTCAGAGGTGTTATTTGAAACTTCAGGGACTGTACGCCAACAAAAATATTATTAACTTCAAGACGAGGAACAAGCTGGCTGAAAGTTTAGTGCTATCAATTATCAGTTATGGTTTGATAGTTTTTTATCCATGCCTGGGTTATTCGACTCAAATGTGCCTGCAGAGATTGCAGAATAACTTTTGTCGTTTTGTCTGTAACTTACGTAAATTTGAACACATATCTAATAGTTTCGGGCTTTTACAATGACCTAATATCAATTCTCTGTTCAAATATTTTTACCTAACAAGATTGAACCGTGTATTATATTCTAATCCTGTATATTTAGTAGAAGAGCTGGTCCCTAGGTCAAGAATACATGATGTCAATATAAGACAGCAAAATAATTGTACAATGCCTATGTATGAAACATCACTCCTTTATAGATCTTTCACGTATAATGCAGTGTCTCTCTAAAAATCTATAGCAGGAATATTGATATATCAAATACTAATAAAATCCGTTTCAAACTGCATCTCAGACAACATCTTCTAGGAATTCAGCATAGGATCAATGAATAAATGCCCTGCGATGGATTACCATTATGTTCTTTTAGTTTATTTACCGACATACAATCGTTTACTGTATATGTAAAATACCATACTTTTATGTCAAATTAGCATTAAGCTTTAGTCTTTACTGAGGTTGAGTGTAAGAATGGCTGTGCTAAACTCCGCCAATAAAGCCGTTTATTATTATATAAAAGTCTATCATTGATTGCTATTTTTTATTTGAATGAAGAATGTATTTATTCAGACAGAACATTTCGAAAAACTGCACCTTTCCCTTCTCTACAGAGAATTGTGCGAATGATTATAACAGTCAAATTTTTGAGTTTCTTTTTTGTCATTCCACGACGTCTGCTTACTTATTCAGGGTCACTCAAAATTAAATGAGACAAAACAGGATTCATCGCAGCTGACGTTATTGCTTTACGTCTTGCTATTTTTTATCAGCATGACAGAAAATCTGGAACAATCTTGTGTGACTCCTAGTCTGTGAAGTGGAATTGAATCACTCAGATGGAATATAAGCTTGATTATTGTTATGTCAAACTGGTAATCAGTATTACCAGGATCAAGAGCGCTTCTAAATTATATAACGATTTTCACCGATACCAAGTATGAAACATTGCAACCCCTTCTGCCTACAAACCCAACCAAAAAAAAAATTAAAAGTCTGCTGAATTGAGTAACTTCGATGCTGTTCACAATGACTTTTAAACAGTGGAATTACGGAACAGTATCTCCTGCTCCAGAGACGTCTCGTTGAAATCAGGCGTCATGCGGTTTTCGCTCAACTTCAAACCATTTCTCAAATTCGTTTACTGCCTCTATCGTTCTTCATCAAACTGAGATGAACTACTTTGCTACTAAGATCGACTTTTTGAGCATCAACCGATGCCGCGAGCCGTGCCGTTAAAGCATTTGTCGTTAGCCAGGGACTGAGCCAGCTGGTGACGAGCCTCATTTCCTTCCCTTGCATTTCATCACGTCTGGCGGGTCTCTTTCTCACCATGCATCGCGACAGTTACAGCACCATTATCCTATCTCCCCTGGATAGCTCGGACCACAGTGTTGGAGAAGTCAGGTCTTGATCAGAACCGGCTGTAGCAGCATAAGCCCGTCCAGGTAGCTACATTTGCCACTACGGTCATCTCGATTGGGAAGGCATCAGAAACTCTTTATCCAGCTGTCCTGGGAGAGGTCCTTGTTTTCCTAACTTGGAGGGATCAACTGTCTCTTCATGAGGTTTTCCTCTCTGAGATGAAGGAATACATCCCCCTTACAGTGAGCAAATCACGCGACACTGCTCATCGACAGAAAATGAAAGCACGCCGTACCTTCTCAGAAGACCCCACTATGGGGAACAGACAAGTCGACGTCGAGCTAAGAGAAGAATATAACGAAGCTGTTCCTAATGCCAAAAACTAGAACGATGCAAAAATTAGGCACACAATGGCAGTCGGACTTTCTAGACGCTGGCCAGGCAGATAGAATGGAACTTCTCAGAGATTACCCCTCCTCCCCTTACATGCCAGGATATAATGACTGCAACAGTCTCCAAGGCAACAGCAGGAGTACTTACCAAGATCTTTGATTCCATTTCCACCGACATCAACAAAGATTCTGGTCCTGACTTGATTCCTGCATTTGCACTAAAGGGGTGTGCACCGAAGCTTGCTTTATTTATTTCGCGGCTCTTCCAGATATCTTACGAGTCTGGTACTTTCCCAGTGAATAAAATACTTGCCCATATCCAGCCCACGCCAGAAAAATTATCTTAGACCTATCCTTATAACTACAGACCTATAGCTCTGCCTTCTTCTATCATCAAAGTTATAGAGAAGTGCATAAATATGGAGTTTTTAGAGTATCTCGACCATCACTGCTTGATCAGCGACACGCAGTATGGCATCGCCGACCAACAGGTAACATCCTAGCTTACGCTACACAACTTAGGAGTAAATTCATCCAGTTACGTGATGTGCCTCATGTAGTTGCTGTTGGCAACACTGAAGCTTTTGATAATGTGGCAGGTTGCCCTATCCTATGGCCTCTTAGAAAAGCCTAGCAGCTGGGTGGCTGACTTGCCCTTCAGCCTCAATTGAAAGTCACTCTTCTTCGTCAATCAATATCAACGCGAGTGTGTCCCAGGGATCGGTCTTGGCGTCAACATTGTTTCTCTTAGATATCATCTCCTGTACGATTAGTCTCATCGACAGCTTTGCCAAAGGCAGTACTCTACACCCATGCATTCAGTGTTGCTAGCCGATCTCTGCTGATGAGCTGGAGAGAAGAAGAATCTCTAGAAAGAGGGATCTGGTCGTCATCATCGCAACAGTTCAATTCTGAAACACAGTACCAACCAACGTTTATTAACCAGAGGCTCACAAGGGCTCATCCGGTTTTGATGAACCGTCGGGTAATGCCTAAGGTGCACTCATTTCAGCTGGTTGATGTCCAGATCACCGCAACAGCTACTGAAAAAATGCTAGGCTATTTATTTATGACTAATAAGACTAAGAATACTCCTCTTGCATGATTTATTATTATTCATGTACAATGTCCAAATAAGACCCAGCCTTGAGTACTGCTTGCATGTTTGGGGTGCTACCACCCCGACTACATTGTCCATCACACTACTCTATACTGCTCAAAGAGGGGCTTGTTTCGCTCTGACTTGACGGAAGATGTTGCTCTCTTCTACCGTTACGTCAACAAGCTGTGATACTCTGAACTTCCTCCATGATGCCGCCGCGCGTTGATCCTGCTAGACCGACCCGTAAGGTAGCCTTCTGCATACCATTGCAGCTCTGTCGATGTTGATACATCGAAAACAGGCCGGTACGACCGCTTTTTTGTTCGAGATTGTGAAACAGTCTACCTAACTATGCTTTTCCCAGTTCGGCTAACCTCAGGCAGCAAAAATTGGCCTAACAATATATAAGCTTCTTATGGCAGTCGCGGTGTCCCAGTATCTTTCTTTCTGTCTTTTTTGCTCACCACTACTGGATCGATTTTCGTAACCCATAAAACCTTTTTGTGTTCCGCATACCATAATCTCAGCAAAGTCAAACAGATAGACATACAAACAGAGACCAGAAAGCGACGTGGATTTTTGTGATGAACATTCAACATCTAAAAAACAAAAACTTACGGGGACCACAATATCTCCTCTCCAATTGGCCAGAAATTTAAAGCGGAGATAAACTGGATATACTCTAAAAGAGGGTGTACACTATCCATTTCAACTATTGTAGCTTTTATAGGGGAAATCATAACCCTTCCTTTACTGAAAAAACAGAAATGAGGTGAGTCAGTCGATTTTAGGTTTTACCAGATCAAATCCCTGTGTTTGTCTAGCCTCCAAAATCTCCCTACGAATAAATGTTCAAACACATTGAAAGATACAAGGTTTTGTCCTCTGATGACCGCCCAATTTGTGGAGGTGCCCTTCAAACATGAAACAGACATACTAACTTTATATCGTCCTGAAACGTCGGCAGCAGACAATATTCGCTTTAATGTTTTCAAGAAAGTTATAAGCTGAACCTTGAATTGCGGATTAAAAAACAGATTACTACCCCCAGGCCTTTGAAATTGTGTGTATATAAAACTTCTCTCTCTGTCGTCATGACATGATTCACTTTTCTTCCTGTCAGACAATGATAATGCCTATACAGATTTATGTAGGCTCAGCATCCCCAAAGCTAACTGGGTTAACATATTAGTTAAGTCACTGAATCACCCAAGGTCAGATCCCGGACGGGCCGGATCCTCCATTATTTTTCTGATTGCCTGGTTGCCTGTTTTCATTGTAACATATCAATATGAATGGTAATATACCCTGCACAAATATGGCGACAGATTAGAACAAATTGATAAACTGATATAAATCAAACAAAATGCGTTACACATTGCATGATAGATCAACGGTGTCTCTCATCAAATGAGTTTTTTGTGGCTTTGTGCATTCAACCCAAAAATAAAGACACATTATTATTATACACCTATATGTGCCAACATACAAATAAACAGATGAGGGTGTCGAATTAAATATGTCATATAGCACAAACAGATAAAATTTGGGTCAAATTATTAATGGTGAAATTTCAAAAATGACCAAACTAAAGTTTATTGCTCACAAATCCGCAATATTCACTGCCGGTAGATTCGGCGTCGTCTGGCCGCCAACATCCATGCCTTGACGGTCGGCAGGCGAGCCCTCTCTCAACACACAAAAAAATCCTACAGTATTTTCTGACTTGAGAATCATTAGTAAATTATCTTATTTTTCCAAGGTTATTGGAAAGTACAGGTACTCACAGATTTCGGGCCATTTTGCGAAAAACCATACTCTACCTGAAAGCCAGTGTGGATTCCGTGATGGCAGGAGTACTTCTACATTCCTTGCAACCGTTATTGCAGATTTGCTAACTGCCTATAGTGAAGGCCAGTGCACCGTTTTAGTGTTGCGCGATTTTTTAAAAGTATTTGACACTTATTTCTTGGTCCACTCTTTCTTGTTATATACGAGGATACTGCGGATATCTTGAGTAGTGTCAAAAATTTCAAAATCCAGGCATTTGCTGTTGATACTCAAATCATTGTGTGACGTATCGCGTGGACATAATTTGAGTCTGAACTTTAACAAATCCAAAGTATTATATCTTTGCAAGAAAAACGGTGTTAATATTTTAATACATACCTTAATGAATGTTAATTCACCATTAACAACCAGACGTTGCAGGTATGAGACTATCCTCTCGTAGTTATAGACACGAACTTCTATTTTAGTGAGTATGTCAAAAATCTAGCAAGTTATTTGCATCCCTCAAATTAATTTACAGCAACAGATCGTGTAAAGGAAAGATCTTAGACGTCAGTAGTGTAGGTCAACAAAGCATTCTAAAAGCCTGCACCGATGTTTGGCTACGTCGAGCACGCAAATGTGTTTTGGAATCCAACGGCGACAACTTCGAACAGTACTTATAAAATACGTTCACCAAGAAAAAGTGACACCGACGTCATATGTTCGATCTCTTTTTTGTTATTATTGTTACATGTGCTCCTCGGATTTTACGACAGAGCCGTACTGGGCATTCCAGTTCAACTGAACAGTGAGTGCTTTTTCATTTGTTCGCTCACGTTTCACCACACATTAGCTTTGTTATATCAAGCGTAGTTGTGTCTGAAATGAAAAACCCCAACTTTGCGGACACCCATATATATTTTTGTGCAATTGTATTCTTTATGGTGGTTGACTAGAATAGTTTGAGGCTAGTCTCTGCCAACCTCTTGAATATTTTGCTTCTGGAGAACATTTTGTTACTTTTTTATAAAGTCGGTTGCTATTATTATTATTACGTTCATCAGTGCACTACAAACTTCAACCCCGCGCGGAATTGCCGGAATCGCTTCCGCTTTCGGCAATCACATAACGTTCGGTAACATACTATAAAAACCAATTCAACTCCTATAGACATTGATCATGACCGACGGTCACTCATATATTTTACATGGATCGGGACATCGGTCACAACATTCTCTTGGAGACACCATGTCATTTATTTGCATGAAACTTTTACCAGGTGATTTTCGAGTTCCTATATCCATATAAATATATTCGTCCTCCCACGTTGCTTTGTGTCAGATAAGCTACGCTAATCAAAAACTCCCTTATACATATGCAAATAGTACATGTGCAAGATATTAAAATTCACTGAAAATTAATACAGAAGCAGGCACTCAAATACTAATTTAGATGATCGTCCTGTTGTTCAGTGGAGGTCCTTCCAGCCCAACGCAAAATGCACACACGGATCCTCTTGAGATTAGCATAACTGGGTTAATCTAGTTTCGGTTCGCTTCTGCGAGTAAAAGTGGGGTGACTGGAAACGGGAAGGGGGACTGTGGGTCGGACTTTGGCGTATGCGACTTGGAAAGGATATTTGTATGCAGATTGGACTGCTCACTGACAGATTGCTGATACTGCAGTCACAGTGGCCAAGCAGAGACGCCAATATTGTCAAGCTTGGTTCTAGAATAATTGTATCGTCCTTGCGACTCCTACAGATACAGACAACGTGTGGTAACTTGTAACGATTACGAGGTGAAACACTCAAGCTAGGCCACCGTTGACCTTTTCCACTGACTTTAGATACCAACGCAGTAGGATCTATGATAGTGGTTGAAACATCACGTCATTCTGTTCCAAAACACGATATTCGCAAATTAAAAAAACTAACTAAAAGATATTTAAAACAGTTGGTATTCAAAGATTACGGGTATGTTATTTAAAGAAAGAGTCCAAACTTGCAATAATACATTACTATTACTATGACCCATTTGAACTTCTAATTAAAAAGATTTAAACAAATGCGAGCTTGCGCTGCGTTCTGAAAAATTTGTAGATGGGGACATGCTGCTTTTCGACTAATGGTATCGCATTACACGTGGTTGTTGGATATATTTGAAATTCTAGTAAACTATAATAAATATTTTAAACATCATACTTACAACTGTTTTATTAGGGCGACGCACAAACAAACTAAACAACGATATTGTTCTATAAAACTAAAAGCAAAAATCGACGCTAATTACTCTGTAACTGGTGACCTTGTCGATGTTGTCGCGTGGCGACAGCACACAGTCCAAAATAATCGTTGGTGGGGAAATAAGTCAGGGGCGTACAGGAGGCCTCAGAAGATATATATATATATATATATATATAAAGAGAATCATGCGAAGAAAAGTATATAACAACAAGTAGGAAAATAATGGGCAAAATCCGCAAAAAGGAGGGAAGTGGATTCGAGCAGAAAATAGGATAGGTAACCCGAGCGATACGTATTTCTGCTGGTTGGCTTCATCAGGCCCGAAATGAATGCACATATGAAACTACAAAAGCGGATACACATGCCCACACATCTGGATACGGGGGTAACCTGAGGAAACGAAGTTGGAGGGGAAAATCTACAAGAGAATAATATTCTCTTTGTAGATCCTTTGGGCTTGAAGTACCACAACAAGTGGCTATAACCGGCCGCGTGGTGGTGGTTAGACGTCTCCTTGAAAATTCGAGGTCGTATAGCCATTTTATACTACAATGTGTGGGTTGGCTCTTGTTGTGGACTTCGTGTGTCGTTTTTTTTCCACCAACTTCGTTTCCTCAGGTTACACCCGTATCCGGATGTGTGGGCATGTGAATCTACTTTTGTAGTTTCATATGTGCATTAATTTCGGGCCTGATGAATCCAACCAGCAGAAATACGTATCGCCCGGGTTACCTATCCTATTTTCTGCTCGAATCCACTTTCCTCCTTTTTGCGGATTTTGCCCATTATTTTCCTACTTGTTGATATATATATATATACATAGAAATAAGATAAGAGAATTTCTAAAAGATACCTTTAAAATATAGAGTAAACTTTAAGGGAAATAATGAAAATCCAGACTATAAGAAACCACATCATTTTTCAGAAATTTAGGGAATATCTCTATTTTCAGGTCGCTTGAGGCACCTCTTGGGTACATTAGAAAACACAGTTACAAGGACGATTTTATTATGAACATGTTTTCTCAAGTTCCTTGGGCATTATATGCTGTTTGTGTTACATTAAATCGATTTAGAAAAAAATGTACATGATTGCCAAGTTTTGTAGAAAATTCTTATCTTCAATGCGCTTGGGGTACCTCTTAAAAAGAAAATAGGAAAAAACGTGATCAATACTTTTTATTTATTATTTTAAAAGCATATTTTTTTCCTGGATATTACGTATCAAGCTTGTAAATTGTATTATTTCACTCCACCCTATTTCTTAGTGCTTTGCTATCCCTATTTAGATATTATTACAAAAGGCCGAATTCAAGGTATTATGGAATCATTTTGCAGATTTGTAAATGGTCTCAGAAATTACGATCCTATATCGAAGGTAATTAATGATCTGAACTGGATAAAAAATGATAAAATGTATAAATACTAGCTGCTAAGTTTTACTCGTAGGGTTCTTTATTCAAAAACACCGTCTTATTTAGAATCGTATCGACAGTCGTCCTACAATAAATTGTAAGACGCCTCTATAGCCTCTTTGATTTTCGTATTATTTTCTTTCCTTCAGAAAGGCTGGGATATTTCTAGGTTTCTACTGTTACATATCAGCGTCAGCTCTCTCCTATTGTCAGGCTATGTCTTCTTTTTGAGTAGGAGATTTCAGACTGTATAACAGGTAATATGTATAAAAAGCATAAAAAGTTTGATGCAAATAGATATTTGTAACATAACCTGAAAATAGAGCGCTGTCGCGGAACAGTAGACAACTAAGAAAATGAAGGAGGCCTTAAAGGCGTCCTACACTTATAGGAAAGACTGACGATACGCCCCTTAGTTACCAAATGCATATGCAGAGGAAATATGCATGCCATTAGTATTAGATATAGAGACATTTTTAATTCCAGGCACATCTCTATTTCAGAATACATACATTTGCAATGCGATCAAATTGTATAATTCAAATTATTAACCAAGTTCAAGAAAAAAGTGAGAGAAATTCTACTTGATCAGCAGCGAATTCTGTGGTAGCTAATAAGTGTAAGTCAGTTGACTTACCTTATGTTTTCATTACGCTTCATTATTATCGTTATTGTATGCAGGTATTAAGTTTCAACCAATTTTCAGTTTTTATACATCCTGTATTGTTAAGGGGGTTAGGTGGTAGAGTAGATATAGTTCTAAATATTGCTCCCTGTAATATTATTACAAATAAAAAAGACGTATACCATTATTATTATTAATATTATTAATATTATACTTAATTGTAAGATTCAGTTGATAGCTACGCATCGGAACGTAAAGCTGCGTTCTCACGGGTAGAAGACGACAGCGTGACATGCCTTTGATCCCTCTGTCTTGACTCTTGTCTTGAGTGGAGGGTAGAAAGTGATCCAGTCGAGGGTCGTGTATGCCTTCACGATGAAGATTTAGTTTATACCTTAATGCTCACCATTAGGAGATTCTAGTTGGAAGTTGTGAAGTCTCGCTGTCCTCTCTTACTAGTGCATTCTCACTACAGTTGTCGTTAACTTGCTCGCCCGATGAAGTTAGATGTAAATTTGCAGCACCTCGTTCAGACGGAAGCAGTTTATACGCATGCCAGGATCAAGCCGGTGTGCCAAACTTTGTGTGAACGTAGCTCAACGCAGAGCGGCAGCAATCAAAGCAAACAGCTGGGGCGCGTCAAAAACCGCCACACCCAAACGCCTTGCTGCCTCCACCTCTGCGATTTGCTTACCTCCAGTGATTCATTGCCGCAATGTTGGCTTAGCCGGACCGCTGCCGCACATAATTTCCGCTGGTCGACAGGTTAGGGTGCGATTCAGATTACCATGCTCTGACCTTTATGGGTCTGCCATGTCACTTTAAAATGCCACCAAACAAGTTTAATTAGTACATATTCCTTACATAAAGGGAGCGTATTATATGAACAGTGGCGGCACATCCATAAGGTAGTATAGGCCTTTTCACCGTTTTTGCGATTACGGAGTTTAATTTCTGTAAAAGGAATTGCACATTGCTCAAATCGATTGTTAACTCAACTACTGCTTCTGTCACACACATGGATAGGGTGATCGAATACCGTTGGCTCATTCACTGTCTGAAAATACTACAATAATTTTAACACAAACTGTCGACATTGTAGTTGTATCTTTAAGTATTGCTACGTTTTATTTGGAAGATCAACGAAAAGTGAATGGCACATACTGTAGAAGCAAGTTGTTATACTGATAGTCAGAAGCATAAATGTGAATGATCCATACATTGACAAGAAAATGTTCAGGGGGTAAGAAAAAACTGCTGTGAGCTTAAACAAACAGAAGTCCGCGCATAGAGGCCGATTGAATATGTATGTGTGATGGAGATGGATCTATGACAGTAATTCTTATAGTTTCACTGTGAAAAGAATCTGAATATGTGTGCCCTTATAACAAAGCATAACAAAATAGTGAACTGGCTGCCCTCTTCTGATACCCATTTTATCAAATAACTATCTGAAAGGCTTCAATTTACGGGAGCAACATCTCTCAGACATACATTGTTTTTCAGAAGAGTCAAGATAACAATTAAAAATATCAAGAAGCCGGCTGGGTGCCAACTTGTAATATGTTACTTCCCACGCTTACTTATGAGGAAGTGTGGTCGGAAAAATTTTTAAAATCAGATGTTATGTTCCTATGATATAAAAAGTATATCACGAAAAACCGTATCACTCATTTCCAGTCGGTCGGTTTGTCTGTTCACTAATCCTTCGCGGTATAAGTTGTTAAGTATCAGTCAGATTTCAATAAATTTTTCACATAAAGTTACCACCAGGCCAAACATGAAAAAGGTTCTGCAGTTTTTGGAAATTGGCAAAGGATGAATCCAATAAGAATTGCTGTAACGCCGTTTTTTGACGCATCAAATGCTTCTCATCATTTTCGGAAAAATTTGTAAGTGTTAAAAATTGATGATTTGGGTTGCAGGGGGTATAGGGTAATAAATATTTCATTTTTGGTATCAGCGAAATGCGTCCTATTATGAGCCACTTATTCTGAAAAACCCAGTACATTGCTAGTTTCATATCTATGTATGTTGCCAAGGCAGCTGCAACATTTTGTTGTTGTGGCAGTAGACAAGCACAGTGCATCTCCACGTTCCAATGATGATGTTGCTTCATCTGTTCCAATTAGACTCTGCTCTGATGTTAGCTAGAGTGATTTATCATGATTTACCTCATTTTTGGCTTCCCGAGGTAAGACAATGTATGCAAAATTTTGATATATGAATACTATCCCGCACGTTTGCTCGATTGAAAGCTACAATGTAGAACAGTTAACCTGCGGAAACTTTGATAGAAGTGTTTTCTGGAAACCGATAACAAATATTTTGGTACGATGGCAACAACCGTGGCTGCTAAAACGCCGGTACGCGACATTTCCCCGATATGAAGAGGGTATCATGTAAAAAACCTATAAAACTTAAAATAAAAAACCAATAAGATGTCAACTTGCAGACTAGGTAGTTTTTAGGATGCAAACAGTCATTCCACGTTTGCTCACTAGGATCGTTGTGAACGTCCATCTATGGAGGAATCACTCAAATAAACTGCACTCATTATTGGTTGCATAGTTTTGTGAGGCTGAGTGATCCGTGTCTGTAGTTTTTATCTCTGAGAAGAAAGTTGGTTGAATAGCAAGATCGCATCTGGATGATTATGTGTATTGGTCTGCATGTGTATAAAACCAGTGATATTTGCTGTTTGAGGAAATCTTTACCAAATATGCCGAATATACCGGGTTATTTATATTTTGTGCTTTCTGAAGTTATAAATTACGAAAAATTGAAGAGAATCACGGGAAATCATCACCACGCCCGCGTTGTGTATAATTACTGTTAGCATGTATATGTAAGTTACAGAAGGGATAAGAAAAAGTGGATGTGCAACTAGTTTCTAGCTTTGAATCTCAATTAAGTGTATTTATCATCAACACATACAACTTACAGCTTAGACCTCCAGTAATGCTATCTCAGAAGCAGATTTTAGAAAAACCTGCATAATGTCAAAAAAACCAGCATGGTGTCAAAAAAAATTGGCATAATGTCACTTTTCAAGATACGTAATACCCGTGCGGGACATCAATGCGAGGATGCAACAGTGCTCTTGAGCGAATAATTTCTGAATAAAATCAACAATTTACAATAACTCATACGATAAGTTTTGGTACATTTTTGAACGATGTATATAGGGTGTCCCAATTTTGATAGGGTGTCCTAATTTTGACCAAAATTTTACTGCGTATTTGGACAAGTCACTGCAGAAGAAGATCGATATTAAATACTATGGAGCTTTTGTAAT